GGGAAAGAGGACAATAAGCCGTTCTTGCAGGAGGTATCAGTTGCGAGCAATACTGGCCAAGTTTAAAATTTATTGGAGAACAGGAGCTGAGGATGTACGATATCATATTAGGCTTAAGGTTACAACTGGACAAGCAATAAATTATTTTCATTTCACTGGACAAAGTTAACTCCTTGTCCTGTTTATGAGCTGCCCATTAACAGCTTTTAAAATTGCAAGACAAGACACTCTCCCAAATGCATCACGAATCAGAATGACTTAATACAAAACATTCCTCAAACAAGTTTAAGCTAATGCCTATTGCAAGTTTTCCCTGGAGTATTTGACATATGTGCTATGATATTTATGTTCTACGTGACATTCCCGATACGTTTATGCATGAGCAAGCACCTCACTCGGAAGATATTGCTGCTGTTCTGCAGTGGGATGACTCATGTCAGCCCTGTATAGTGAGGCAGTGTGCTCCTATTACATCAAAGTTCTGAAACCATGGGAAGATGGGAGGTGAGTGGTGTCTCAGGTGTGTGCTGCTCTCTCTATTTACTGGTGACATTCCCTTTTTTGACAGAAGGAGGTTTCAGTTAACAGTTTGTTATATACTTTTGGCAGATAAGCAAAGAAAGACCGTTCTTGAAGAGAGTACAAATGTGATGCAAGAATTCTATTTTACACTATTTCCAAGATTACCACCAATTTCAGGGCATTAGGAAAAATTATTTAAGTCCCAGCTCCTGGAGCCATGTGAAATAAAAGCAAATATAAATTCAGATTAAATTTCTGTCTTCAATTTTAAAGTAAGAGGCTTGAAGACAGGATCCAAAAGTATTCGAAAGGTTCAGTAAGTAAAACAAATAGTCAGCAAATAGAAAGTATCCACATACTTAGGCCAGCCTCCTAATTCTGGGGGCCTGAATCATGACTTCTGAATGCTAGGGTTAGCAATTCTGTTTTTAGCAGTGACCAAAACGTCCAAAAATAGCTTCTAACTATTTGAGCAGCTATATTTATGCTTGGTAAAAGCCATGCTAAGCTGTTAAAAAAAGAAACCCAAACCTTGGCAGTCAGCAGAGCATGTCCACAAAGATCAATATGCATCATTGCCTCCTGAATTTGAAGTTCTCTACTATTGCCTTTCCACAGTGATAGAGATTGACAGGAGCTGCTCTGAAGAACTTTACTTGTTCTGTCAGTCTTCTTTTAGATCTGATGCATAAAACCACAGCAGACAAATTGATTGAACCTCCAAAAGAGTAGGTTCAGTAGGCATAACATTTATTTGCTTTTAGAGTGAAAATATGCGATCTGATAAGTTACATTAGTGGAAAACTGAGCAAAGTGTTCCTGATAAAATACAGACAAGCCTTATCCAGTTATCTGCATTTCCTACTCATTTGCCCCTGCTCTGATTTATTTGTTGATCTTATCCACCTACATATGTTTTATCTTTTAGACAGTTGGTTCTATGGGACAGAAACCATCACTTTCCATATTTTTTAAAATACGTCAGTGAATAACCTGGCTGGCCCTTTTGACTTGCTATATTTTAAGTGTTAAATAAATAATAATTTTGGTCAATTCCTAGTCAGAATGTTATGTGCACAGCTATAATAGGAAGTACACAAAGTAGTAAAAATCAGTCCTTTCAGGCCTCTATCTAGGAGAGTTTCTCATTCCAGAATGCAGGGTTTGAAAGCTGATATCTAGAGTAGTGCAAGTAGGTTTTATTTTATACCATCTGTGCTTTCTGACACCTAAATGTATTTTAGATGCAAATTTAGATACTTCTGCAAGGAAAATTAAGGCTATTATGTTTAAAATGTTTCCTTGTTCTGTGTTGGCAGACTCAGAGCTGTAGAAACTCCTTAAAGCT